CGTTTCCGATAGCTGATTCAAGCAGCATCGAAGGATAGGAGTTGACGGTGCAGAATGAAGCCAGGCAGCTTAGGTTCACATCTTTGTCCCTCTGCTTGCTCTGTGACTTTGAATAAGTTATGTAATCCCCATGGACCTCACTCTTCCTCTTCTAAAAAGACAACGCTGATAATGCCTACTCCACGAAGCTATTGTGACCACAGGTCAGAGGTAGTTAAATACTGATTCTCATAATTACCTTTTTGTCTATTTCATCAGGCAAGACTGCCCCTAGGGCAAACTTATCAGATTGGGTGTTCCCTGAGAACAAAATCTATCTATCTGTTCATCTGTCTGTCTATCCATCTATTAAGGGTCTCACTATGTCGCTCTCGCTGTCCTGGAACTCACTATACAGACCAGGTTGGTCTTGAACTCAGAGATCCTCCTGCCAGGGATCAAAGGTGTGTACCACCATGCCCAGCCAGAACTATGTTTTCATTTGTGTTGAGGGCTCTCCCCACCCCGAATCTGTTCTCTGGGTCAGCAGAAGTCTGGGATTGTCCCTGTAAGGCAGCTAACGAGACTTTCTAATCAACAAACCAGTGAGAGAATGGAGTAGAAGGGGCTGAAAGGTGGTGGAGGATTTTCCTCATCTGTGCACCAGGCGGAGTGTCTTCCCAGCTCCCAGGAAGCAGGGACTGACAAGGATGTGCAAGGTCTGGCCTAGGCAAGAGCAGGAGATAGGCTTGCCCTCTGCTTCTTGGAAGCATGTTATGTGAGCGTCTGCCCCACAGGTGGCCCAGTCTCGAGTTCTGCTTCCCAGAGGCGTGTTGTGGGACCATCCAGCCCACAGAGGGCACAGCCAGGTGGAGGAACCAGCAAGAGGGCCTCTACCAGTGACTCTGCCTGTGGATTTTGGGTTCTTCTTTTCTCTTGAGGGTGGTGACCATAGGGATTCGAGACAAGAGTCTTACTATAGGGCCCAAGCTGGTTTCTCCAAATACATGTGTTGTTGAATATTAATATTTACTACTGATTTGTCTTTTAATTAAGCAGCGGTTATTCCCAAACCAGCTGTATACCCACATCACCACACAGAGACTAAGATTTATTTAATTAACCTAGAGCACCATGCTGGGCAATAGTTACTCCATCTGAAACCTCTAAGCCTGCATAGTTTCCTACCATTCAGAATTTCGCCCATTATACTTTCTTTTAGTCCTATCTTAGGTCCGGTTCATCTCTCCTCATGGTTCTAAGTCTTCTCCTGCCCATCTCTGCCCTCCTACTCCCCCCACTCGCTTCCTTCTCCTCCACTCCGGACCAGTATGTCCCACCCTGTTCTCTCCATATGCATAGCATTGGCTGGTTGCTTAACTGAAAATGCAGAGAACAAATGGTGGCATGTTTATACAAACTTGAGACAGGTGATGCTTAGAATAAATAAATAAAAATAAATCACAATGCAATGTCCGGATTGAAGCCAGATAGTGGAGTAGAGAAATCAGCATTTGAATGGACAAGGGTGTAAACATTCCACAAGAACATTATACCAACATACTAACATACATGCATGGGCAACCATGCCAGGTTAAGATAACTGTTGGGGTATGTGTGGGGATCTAAACCTCAGACCTTATGCATGCTAGGCAAACACTCTACCACAAAGCTACACCTCCAGTTCGTAGAACCCTTCTCATCTACCGCCTTGTGTTTTCTTCTAACCATTCTCTGTGGTTGAGCCCAACTATTTTGCCCTCCCCGTCCTTTTTACCTCCCTTCCTTCATCTCTTCAGCGATGAAAACTGTCCATTTGAATGGTAAGTGGGGATCTGGAGAGAACTGCCAGAGAACTCCAGTTCGGTTCCCAGGACCAGTTCTCAGGTGGCTTACAACTGCCTGAAGGCCAGCCCTGAGATCAGACACCTCTGGCCTCTGCCTTTGTGGGTACCCGAACTTAGATGCACACACCCACTTAACAGAAACACGCTCATATACATGATTCAAAAAAAAAAAATAAAGCTGGGCTTGATGGCACATGCCTTCAATGCTAGCACTCAGGGGGCAGAGGCAGGTGGCTCTCTGTTTGAGGCCAGCCTAGTCTATGTAGTAATTTCCAGGTCAGCAAAGGCTACATAATGAGACACTCCCCCCCCATTAAATACCAGTAATTAAAAAACAAAAAATAATGTTAAGTGGAAGGTCCAAGATCCCAGAACTTTATAAGGCTCTGCCACCACTTAAGCTCAGGCTTAAACTTAAACAGCTGGCTCCTTTGTTCGTCTTATGCTCCTTGACCAGATTCTACTGCTGAGAGAGCCCACTAAGCCACAAGGGTCTCCAGTTCAGCGGGGAGACGCAGGTCCCGACGTCAGGAGAGCTTGTGTAAGCTGGGATGAGTTCATGGGAAGGGGGAGGTCCAGGAAGGACAAAACACCTGCTGTGTGTTTCCTTTCAGGCACTTCCCACAGGTACTCATCTCTTACCGGAAAGTCCCCTTCGCTAGACTAGTCCTGAAGGCTCAGAGAACTTCAAGGTCCCTAGCGAGGACCAAGTGACAAAGCTGGACAATAATCTAGTCTGATCATGCTGATGCCTTTTTTATTTTACTCTTGAGCATTGAAGATGTGGCCTCAGGCCACCTCTTCAGCGAATATTTTTCATGCCTCAAAAGAAGTAGAACTGCCTGCTTGTGTCTCTGGGTCCCCATGTGTCCCATACAAATATTTGCCAGGGTGGGGGCTGGAGAGATGGCTCAGCGGTTAAGAGCACCGACTGGTCTTCCAGAGGACCCAGGTTCTGTTCCCAGCAACCACATGGCAGCTCACAACTGTCTGTAACTCCGAGATCTAACACCCTCACACAGACATGCCTGTATGCAAGACACCAATGCATATAAAATAAAATAATAAAATGAAATGAAATAGTTAATTAAAAAGTCTCCCAGAGCACCTGTACATGTTTTAGAAAACCTATTTCCATTACACACTTGTCTACTCTCTTCCTTGAGGCAGAGTGGTTGCGGTGGCCTCTTTATTTTCAAGATAAAACACAGAGTGCAATAAGAAAAATAAAATTAAAAAAAAAAACACAGAGTGCTGGAATAGTGCTCAGTGAACGCATCGTATATGCAGAGCGGTTCTTGTTCTCTCTGGCTTCCTCGGAGTGAGTGTAGGAAGCGATGGGGAAGACTCCAGAAGATGGGTTGGGGGCAGAGGCGGTGCTGAGGCTGTGGCGTGGGAGTGGGGGCATTTGTTCCCTGTGCAGAACGCCCACCTTCACCCTGCCTCACCCCGGCTGGCTACATCCCAGCCTGGCACGCAGGTTGGCACTGGGCTTCAGAACTGTCCTCATTGGTCTGGCTTATTCCCACAGGAGCTCAAAGGATAGGCGGCGATGATCAGCCTTCCTTTTAGCTAGAGATAAGCATTAAGTAGGAGGCCGACGGGGAAGAGAATGGGTTCTGGAGTGGGAACAGAGTGGCTTCTGAATCAGAAAAACGCTGGCTTCCCCCAGGAGCTTGAAGAATCTGTTCTGTTCACATTTCTCCCAGGCAGATCGGACACGAGGGAGCCAACTTTATCATTGAGATGTGCCTTTATCATGGAGAGAGCCAATCTTTGTCTCTAGCCCTAACATTTCAGCACTCCTGCAGTCTTCAGGGTGGCCAGTAGGTGCCGTCAGTTCGCAACTTTTTGGTCTGTCCTCCAGGTCCGGCTCTTGGCGCCTTTCTTCCTCCGACCGCGCCAACGTTCTGCATTTGCAGAAAGTGGGAGGTGGCCTAATTCCCCAGAAGCTGAAAGACCCCTGCCCGGGGACAAAGAACAGGAAGAGGGCTGGGAAGTGCTCTTTAGTTTGGTTGCTCCTCGGATGTTTGGACCAAACCCTGCCGACCCCATCCACCCCTAAAATCCACTCGGCCTCCGACTACGCCCGGACAGACACAGAAACGAACGCCTTGGTTGGGAAAGATGGGGAAAAAGGTGGTAGGGGGTGGGTCTCTGCACCCCCCCCCCCCCCAAATGCTACTCTAGATCTATTGTCATTTCCAACAGGATTGCTGCGAGGGTAAGGGGATAGGTTTATCAATAGGATGTCACCCAGGGGCAAAAGTGGCATCGGGAAAATTGAGAAGAGGCTTCTCTTTCTGGAAATCTTTGCTATCGACGGAGAAACTGTCACAATACGCCCGCCTGTGCAGACGATGAATACAAAGAGTGGCGCTCCCTGGAGTTGTTCAGTTCACATCTTGTACAGGGCCCATGGCAGTCTCCTTCCAGAATCTAAGCGAGGCAGCAGAGGGGAAAAACATCTAGGAAGGAGGAAGAGCCTTGGCACTTTGTCCTGGAGTTCTGGAAGCAGAGTGCAGCAAGGCCCAAATGGAAGCTAGGGCTGGGAATCAAGCGGCAGGAGGTACAGGAGCAAGTGAGGAGAAGATCGCCTATCAGCCAGCGCCTTAGGCCGCAGCCCTCCTGGACCCCTTCTGCTCCACCGCCTTGCTCCTCCTCACTCAGCGCGTTCTCCGGCGCTTGACACTGGACACACCAGGGTGGAGGGTGGGGGTGGGCGGCCGGAGGACTCTGGCCAGGGAGGGGGGAACTGAACGCGAGGATCTTGAGTTCGCTATGAGGTCAGGTTCTCAGTGGCAGCACGAGGGTCGCTCAGGTGACTGGGAAGGAGTCCTCCGAGGTCGAGGGAGGGGGCCAAGCAGCACCCCCTTCGCCTCCCTCCACCCCCCGCCCTGCTTCCTCTCCAGGGCTCCGGCTCTGAGGCTCAGAGGCTCTGTGCGCGCGGGCCACCGCGTCCCAACCGCGCTGCTTTCTCCGGAGCAAAGGACTTTCAGATGTTGGAGCAGTGGCGGCGACTCAGGCCAGCGCCCCCTCCCCCTAACGGCCTCCTCTCCCGCCCTAGTTCCCCGTCCCCCTCGCCCGCCCCCTGCTCTCCCACCTCGGGGACGGCGCTGGGGGTGTGGCCAGGGGGCCGGTATAAAGTCCCGGGAGCTGGTCCCGGGCAGCCGCTCAGCCCCCTGCCCCCCGCCGCCTGCTGGGCCGGGCCGAGGATGCAGCGTAGCCCCTCGTTGGTGGCCAGGCTCGCTCCGCTCCAGCGTGCTTGCTAACTTCCCCGGCTCCGTCCCTGCCTGCCGGGGCCGCTCCGTGTCCCCGAGCCCTCCGGGTCTGGTTCTCTAAGCTCTCCGGGCGCTGCCTCCGGGTCCCTCGTAGCCCGCCCGCGAGCTCGCGCTCCCCCCGCTGTGCCCCCATCCTTGTCCTCACCATGCTGCCCTTCGGCCTCGTGGCCGCCCTGCTGCTGGCCGCAGGGCCTCGGCCGAGCCTGGGCGACGAAGCCATCCACTGCCCCCCTTGCTCCGAGGAGAAGCTGGCGCGCTGCCGACCCCCCGTGGGTTGCGAGGAGCTGGTGCGGGAGCCCGGTTGCGGTTGTTGCGCCACTTGCGCCTTGGGCTTGGGGACGCCCTGCGGGGTGTACACGCCACGCTGCGGCTCAGGCATGCGCTGCTACCCGCCCCGGGGGGTGGAGAAGCCCCTGCGCACTTTGATGCACGGGCAGGGCGTGTGTACTGAGCTGTCGGAGATCGAAGCCATCCAGGAGAGCCTGCAGCCCTCTGGTAAGGGACACCTGCCCCCCCTGGGCCACCTTTCCCAAGCGCCCTTCTCCCCGAAACTTGGTTCCCGTTCTGGCTGGCCTGGAAGGCCCCAGAAGCCCCCTGTGAGTTGATGAGAAGAGAGATACGTGGCAGAGCCTGACAGGGACAGCCAAGAAAACTGGCACTTAATCCCAGCACCAGTTGCCACTGGTCAAGGGGAAACGATCCCATCTCTTCATCTCAAACCACCCAGAGACTTTTTGGGGGAAGAGGGGCCTTAGCCTCAGTGATAAGCCGGGCTCCTGAGGCGATTATGGTAAGTTGAATGACGTGATTCAGTTACGTTTATCGTGTAGAACCAGAAAAGGATTGTGTGTGTGTGTGTGAGAGAGAGAGACAGAGAGAGTGTGTGTGTGTAGGGTGTAGGGTTCCTTTCTGTCCCTGATTCCGGAGCCTGGTGAAACCCAAAGGTGTGAGGAACCAGGGTCTGGACTTTTCACTCATCACCCTATGGTGAAGTGGGACATACAAATCAGAGGGATTTCGATGGTAATGCACATGAGACTTCTACGTCCCCAAAGGCCCGGAAAGCAGGGGAAAGCACGACTCTTTCTGCCAGGGTGGCACGTCCAGGTTTTTTGCTCCTACCTTCTGGCAGGTGCCACCTGGAGGCAGGGGTGCTGGAGGGAAGGACTGGCCGACAGCCCGGAGTTGCAGACACCTTGGGTGTATGGGACCCAGAGGAAAGGAGGGGTAGAGAGACTTTCAGAAGGTCCCTTGTCCTGATCTTGTATTTACTTTCACCTTTTTTTTTTTCCATTTCTCAGTGGATCTTTCTCAGTTTCTTCTTAGAATCTTTCTCGTGCCTTTTTGTTATTTCCTGCTGTGCCTCTCAACTTCAAGTTTCACCAAACAGCCCCGAGTTCTCTTTTTCTCTGTCTCCTGAGCCTTACTAGTTTCCTTCTCTTGCTCTTTTTTTTTTCTTCCTGCTGTCCTCACCCTTCCGACACAGACTCTGTCGCTCTGAGAGTGAGTGACTCTCTGCGTTTCTGTTGCCTTTTGGATGTTCTGACCATCTGTGTCACGGACTCTGGTTATTGTCCCTTCTTTGACAGCCTCTCTGTGCCTCTCTCCTTCCTGATGCTTGAATCTTCCATTGTTGCAGTCCGGATGCTGGGACTTGAGCCCCAAGCTTCCTGCTCTGGGTCCCAGACCAATCCACTTCCTCAATCCTCAGCGGCTTGTTAGTTTGAGGAAAGCAGGATGCAGGGAAAACAGGAAGGAGGTGGACCCCAGGGGTGCCTCTCTGCCCTTCCTGCCCCTGGGCAAGGAGAGATGGGTCAGCAGAAAGCATTCTGGGAGAAATGCCAGACTGGCATCCAGCATTGCTGGAGGTGGAGTGATTCCGTGGTCTTGGGGGCAATGAGCCCCGGAGAGAGGACGGCATTTTTAGGGTGCTCACTGTGAGCCTTTGCTCTCCACCAGTTGGTGAGCATCCAGCAGCAGGTGAAGAGCCTCCTCTCTGCGCAACTTGAGCACAAGGCAGAAGAGCTTTATGAGAGCCTTCTCCCCTAGTAGCACGGAAGCATCCCTACTGTGTGGAGGAGAGTCAGATCCCCAGGGTTAGGAAGGCCTGCCACAATTTCTGATTGCTTTGTGGATGTGAGGCAGGCCAGTTTCAAGAGGAGTCTAGGAAGGGGGTACCATTAGGCCTGTTTGGGGATTCACTAATTCTCCTTCCACTTCCTGCCGTTGGCTTCTATCACACCATGGGTACAGGTATTTGAAGAGGGAAAAATGAAAAGCCAGGAGGACCCTGGAGACGTCAGACATTCGATTGGCAAGCTCTGGCCAGTGCTTTCTAGTCATCACAGAAGTACTTCCTTGCCATGGTCTGGCACCTTTGCATTATGGGAGGAGCACTGTAGAGCTGTATAAGAGCTTTGCAGAGTATCTGGTGAAATACTAATCAGGGCTCAGACCCCATATCACACCTCATACAACTGACGACGGTCCATAAGCCATTGTCCCTGTTAGGTCTCCAGGTTTTGGACCTGTGTCCCGGAAATAATTCGGTAAAGGGTGTTAGTCTATTTTTTTTCCCCTGTTCTTTGCTCTTGGGGTTGAGCTTCAGCTGATCATTTAGGAAGGTGGTCCTTTGGCACAATCTCTCCTTATTTTTTTTTTCCCTAGGGGTAGGTTGGTTCTCCTTTCTGTTTCCCGCCTGCCCTGTTCTCCTTTCTGACAGGCTGGCAATCAGCACTACTGAGGCCACCAGAGGTGGGAATGGGTGTAAGTGTCATATGTCTACAGTTTCACGTTGTGGTACTGACCCTCGACTCTGGAGATCTGAAAGAGTGTTCAATGGCGAGGTCAAGCTTGGGACAGGGAGTTCCTAAACCAGGCTCTAGGTCCCTCCGGGACAGGGTTAGGGAACAGACAAGCCGGGTTAATTTTTAGTGAACACAGCAAATATTTTCCCTACTCCGATACTGGGAATCTAGTCATGTCATGGGAACTGGGCCTTCCCAGACATTCTGTCCTTTAGCAGAGAGGGGAGGAAGAGCATGGCTGCCTAGAGTTTCTCTTTAATACTGACGAAGCTCAGATTATTGATGCTTAAAGTGGCCGAAGACATGTCTCCCTTCCTCTTTTCCACCTAGGCAGTTTCAGTTTCCTCTTCTATCAATTGCCTCATAGTTTTGGGGTGTTTGGCATAGAATATAAGTCCATAGATTGGAGTGATTTTGAGGGTGGAGATGGAGAAGCTCGGCCTGGGACTTTGGAGACGATAGGTAAGGGAACGCAGTTGGGGAGAATCATAGGAGTGGCGTGAGGTTGGTTGGCTTTGCAGAATCTCTTGTAAGACACCCCTAGAGCAAAATCTCAAAGAAACAACCTGCTATCCTTCGTGGGTGGTCTTGGGTTCTCTAGCTAGGGTCTAGGGCATGAAGGAATAGAGAGGCATTTTTGATGGGCAGGTAAGTGACCCTCCAGAGCGTGGCTGAAACTTCTGAGTCTGGGTTACAGATCCACTCAGTTCTTAGCCTGGGTGTCTTGAGGGCCTGGTCTTGAAGAGGATCATGGGAGTGAAATTAAGCAGCAGGAACTTTGCCTCTCCTGGAGCCAGAGCTGTGCCCAGCTGATCCCTGGGGGCTCCTCACCCTGCTTTGTTATAGAGCGAAGAGCAAGACTTCTGCCATGGTTGGATGACAGTTTGCTCAGCTCCGGGCAGAAGTTAGAGGGGAAGACCCACTTCATGTTGGCAGCTCCACCTTCTAGTCGGGCTTCTTGGAGACCTAATGAGAGGAGGGGTCTGCCTCCAGCTCCTGCTCAGAGGCACAGAGACTTTGGTGGAGGGCGTTAGAAGCTAAACGGTGCCAGGAAGTTAATGTTTTTGAGAGGTTCAGCACGGTGGACTCTAGGATGAGTCCTTGGCCTGCCAGGTAAGCATAGATAGACAAGGAAAAGTTACAGATTAAATGGAGAGTCAACAAACCGTGGTCACAGAGACCGGGATGTCAGCGTGCCCTGGCTTGGTCCATGTTTCTGACCGGCGCCAGGGTCAGAGTACTTGAGTGGGTGTAGAAGTACGCACCTGGACAAGCATGTGTCCGGACATGTGACTGTTCGTAAACATTTGTGAATCTGTGTCGGTGGGTGGGTGTGGACTCACCTGTGTTATGACCCCAGGCGAATAAGAAGCTACTCTCCCAAGATGGCGGTTCTTAGTGTAGAGATTCGAACTGGGGAATCACTGGACTAGATCACGGAGACACCCACACTCAGAGGCCGGCAGGCTGCTGACTCTGCTGTGCTCAGTTAAGGTCCTCTGCGATGTGGGGCCATTTGATTCTGACGTCGTCTGCATAAGCTATGCTTCTAGGCTCGCTCTATGTCCTGTGCAGTTTTAGGTTTCAACAAGGTATTCAGCTGTTCTCATTAATGAGGAACATCTCAAATACCCATGGGTAAGCCCCCAAGAACTGCTATTGTTGGCTTCTATTCACAGAAATGCCATACTGGGAAGACATACTGTGGTCAAATCTCTGGGCCATTTTTTTAGGGGCTCTTGAGGGGGGGGTCATCATTATAGCTCTGGGACTATGGGGTAGGGTTACTCTTACCTCCTGAGGCAATTCCTTTCTCTAAAAACTCCTAAAACAAAACTAAAAAACAAAAAAATCACTTGAGGGCCTTGGAGCCAGATGCGGTGGCTCCCACCTATAATCCAGTACTTGGGTGGTGAATCGAGGAGGAGGGGGAATTCAAGGCCAGCCTCAGCTACAAAGCAAGTAGGAGGCCTGACGGGGCTGCAGGAAACCCTGTCTCCAAACAGAAGGAAAAGAAAAGGGATGTGAGGGCTGCAGTTGTAGCTTAGGGATAGAATGCTTGCCTCAAATTCTTCTTTACCCCCTGAACTCTGAGCCTAAAAACATGTTTACCAAAAACAAAACAAAACAAAAAAACCAGATTGTGCAAAGCGATTCCGACTGAAAAGATTGCAAATCAGGGAGAATGCACTGACTGGGATGCTTATACTTAGAGTCAGTCCTGGGTTGTGTCCTGTGGGTCCCACTGATGCCCTCCCTCCCCTTTAGCTGACTTTCCCAAGCTTGATGGGGGTCTGGGGCCCCCTGGGGGCTACCCTTTGGTCACATAAGCAGAGGATGGTCGTGTCTCACTGCTCCATCTACCTCTGTTTTTTAATGCTGCACTAACACTTCACTCAAAGACAAAATTTATCCCTGGTGAGTCAGTTTTATTTTGGTATGGCATCTTAACAGACTTTTTTTTTTTTTTTTTTTTTTTTTTTGGTGGTTTAGATCTCTCCTAGCCTGCTGTCTCTTCGTCTACATTCTTCCTTTCCCTTGTCCCCCAAACTAGAAGAATAAAACAAAAACCAACTCCCCAGCTTTGGCTAGGCAGAAAAATACCATTTGACCCAGAGGCAGCTCTGGGGCTGTTGCCATGTATGGAGGAACCTGCTAACTCCTCAGGAAAAAAAAAAAAAAAAAGTCCTGACGCAAACCAGATGTAACCTCCTGTCCGCCTGCCAACATCTGGAATGCTGGCAGGGCCTCTGCACTTGGGCCCGCATTGAGCTGCCAAGTCTGAGTATTTCAGAGGTGGCTCTGATGTGCTGAGAACTCCTCCAGCCCCCTTCTCAGCTCTGCCTTGCAGTCTGGCCCCAGCAGCCAGGACGGAGTAGCATGGTCACAATGTAGGACCTTCTGGATTGGGCAGCTCACTAGAGCCTTCAGGAAGGGGCCTCGGAGACAGGGTCTGCCCTCATAATTTGCATATCCAGAAATAGCCTTTTTGCATGCTTCTGGTCCACTCACACGGACATTGAACAGGGGCTCAAGTTTAAGGATGTGAGACTTAAAGGTAGAGGGTGGAGGAATGTGTGGCTGTTTTCTTTGTTCTGGGGCCACACAGGGGCTAGGTCTCCCCCCCCCCCCTCAGGCAGGCACACACTCACACACACTTACAGACCCAGACAGTGGCAGAACCTTTGGGGCCAGACTCCTCGCTCATGGAAAATATGATTTTGGCCCTAGGGATGCCTGACAGGCTCAGCCAGATGCTGAAAGAGCAAGAAAGGAGACAGGAAGGGAGAGCAGATGGAGAGGGGGATGGTGGGAGGAGCTGAGCAGAGGGGGAGAAGATCCAGTCGTCTCCCCCTTCCCATTGCCTGCCTCAGACCTCCCTGCAGGACCCAGGGGACCCCCCTGCCATCTGGGCAGCTGCAGCTGGTGACTCATCTGAATCCTGAACTGGGTGGGGAGAGGAACAAGTCAAGGACTTCGAGAGGAATATTCTTCCAAAGAGATGCAGAGGAGTGGGGTGTGTGTGGGGGGGTGTTTCTCCCCGCCCCAGACTCTGCAGTGCAATGCAGGAGGGAGCAGGTACGGGGTCAGAGGAGTGAAAAACCTCTGCTCTGATGCTGACCTCTGCCTTTCTCGGACGGCCTGCAGACAAGGATGAGAGCGAACATCCCAACAACAGCTTCAACCCCTGCAGCGCCCACGATCATAGGTGCCTGCAGAAGCATATGGCCAAAATGCGAGATCGGAGCAAGATGAAGGTCATGGGGACACCCCGGGAGGAACCCCGGCCTGTGGTGAGTACAGCAAACACTGAAGCTTTCTGTGTGTGTGTGTGTGTGTGTGTGCGCGCGCGCGCATGTGCATGTACAAGATGTATCTATCTCATCAGGATCCATTTCTCTCTTTGTGATTCATTTTTCGCTCTGCACATAAATGTTGGCAGAGCAGAGCTGATTGGTAAAAGCAGGGCCCAAGTCACCTAGTGTTCCTTTTTTCTTTTTTCTTCCTTTCTTTCTTGTTGGTTTTTCATGGCAGGGTTCCCCTGTGTAGGCTTGGCTGTCCTCCTGGAACTCACTCTGTAGACAAGGCTGGCCTCAGACTCAGAGATCTACCTACCTCTGCCTCCCAAGCGCTTGGGATTAAAGTTGTGCGCCACCACGGCCCGGTTTTTTTATTTGTTTGTTTGGCTCTTTTGAGACAGGGTTTCTCTATGTAGTCCTGGCTGTCCTGGAACTCGATCTGAAGGCCAGGCTGGCCTTGAACCGGGAGATCAGCCTGCCTCTGCCTCCTAAATGCTGGGAGGTATGCCACCACCACCAACTCTTGGCGGTTTTTCTTGGATTCTCTGTCCAAGTCTTGGGAACAAAAGGGTTTTAATAAGCTGGCCATAGCAAGAAGATTTGGGGTCCTATTCTAGGGTCTGGTTAGTTGTCACAGTGGGTCAAGCCTGGGTGTTACTCTGTTTACCCTGCTTGCTTAGGCCTCTGTATGTTTCTAAGGCCCCTTTCCTTATTACTCCCTCCTTTAAAGTGGCTTTAAATAAATAAATAAATAAATAAATAAATAAATAAATAAATAAATAAATAAACAAGGTCTCACTTTTAGCCCAGGCTGGCTTGAACTCCCCATGTACACCAGGCTAGCCTTGAACTTGCAGCAGTCCTCCTGCTTCTACCTCCCTCTCTGTCAGACCTTCTCCTCAGCGTCCACCACGGCGGCCCGAGACTGAGTTTCTGCTCTCACTTGTTAGTACCCAGGCCTTGACTCTTTGTTCAGGGCCTTCAGCCCGCCTTGAGTTCAGAGTCCCAGCTTGATCCTCCTCATGTACCGGGCGGTTTTTCTCTTCCCTCCCCAGCCGCAGGGCTCCTGCCAGAGTGAGCTGCACCGGGCCCTGGAGAGACTGGCTGCCTCGCAGAGCCGCACCCACGAAGACCTCTTCATCATCCCCATTCCCAACTGTGACCGCAATGGCAACTTCCACCCCAAACAGGTGGGTGTCTCCCTGCTTCCCGTTCCGGGCCTCAGCCTGGGGAACTCCTGGTTCTCCTCAGGCCTTAGGCAGGGAAGCTCCCCAAATCCAACCCAACCACTCGGGTCTCCCTAAGCCCTTCTGAAGCACCTCAGCGTGTTCTGTCCTCCCCCTTCCTTTTGGAAGGACCCAGCCCAAGTCACAGAGCGAGTTCATGGCGGAACTTGATTTCCTTCTAGGACCGTTTGCTGCTCCCTCTTTATGGTGTAGACCCTGCTCCCAACGTCTTCCCCCCTCTCCCTTTTCACCAAAGTCGTCCTCCCTAAGCCCATGCTGTAAGATCAAGGAGGAAACAGCTCACGCTTCTGCAGCTGAGCTCAGGCTCCTGGGGGAGGTAAAGATGGAGGTAGAGCCGGGTGGCCTGAGACAGTCACGTGGAAAGAGGGCTCAGGAGAGAAGGCAGCGGGTACAGCAGCAACCACGTTCACTCCCTCCCTCAGCGCCCAGCAGGCCGGTTTGTACAGCGGGAGGTGGCGTATCTGGACTGAGCACCGGAGTGCCTTGTGTTGAATGTGGCCGGGGGAGCCTTGGCGAGCTTCTGGTCTAGGGCACAGACACATATGTTGCCCTCCCGCTATGGACACATCCCTATAGTGAGCTGCTGCTCAACCAGCAGAGGCCTCAGTCGGAGGATGACACAGTACTGTCCTCCGACTATACGTTGCAGCATGGCAAGATGTGGGGTTTTGTGTGACTGGTGAAGGAAGGGCCAGAAAGGGCTCCTTGGAACCGGATCCTGGCCCGTCCTCAGCCTTCTTCCCAACACAAACTTGACCATTTTTTTTTAGAGCAGTTTTTGGGGTTATGAGAAAACAAGGAGAAAGTGCAGAATTCTACTGTGACTTCATCAAAGCTTGTTTTTTTTCACTCATTCCATACGGAGGTAGAGTGTATTTGATGTAATTGATATATTTTTTCTTTTTTTTTTTTGAGTCTGGCTTAGAAACACACTTTTGAGCACCCATCCCCATTCCCAGTCTGATTTTAGCCCGTCTTCAGTTCTTCTGACCTTGACTTCTGTCCTAATTCTGAATTTAAGTTCTTTGCAGCCATCCTCCTGCCTCTGCTTCCTAAGTACTGGGGTTCCAGGCATTGTACCACATCTGGCCCAACATCTTCTGATGTGGGCTCTCAACTTCACCCATATGCTTTACTCATAATCCCTAACCCATCTTTAGCTGTGGTCCTGATGCTGCCTTCACCCCAACTTGCATCCTGTGCTCAGCTATAATCCCACGTTACAAATCCCAGCCCAGTCACAGCATCTCCAGTGAGCCCAGCCTTTACAATCCATCTGTGCCTTTAAGTGTAAGGGCCTCCTCTGGTCATGCCTCTGGAAGCTCTCTAGAACTCCCCTTGGACAAGACTCCCCGCTACAGTGAGCTCTGGGGACTGGTGCTCAAAATAGACCCCTTGCCTTCAGATACCATCCTGGAGGAGCAAAACTGTCAGACCCGGGGGCTGGGCTGGAGGTGGGACATCCTCAGCTCTTGTTTCCTTTGCAGGAGCTGACCTCTTATGTCCTTGTCTTGACAGTGTCACCCCGCCCTGGATGGACAACGCGGCAAGTGCTGGTGTGTGGATCGGAAGACAGGAGTGAAGCTTCCAGGGGGCTTGGAACCCAAGGGGGAGCTGGACTGCCACCAGCTGGCTGACAGCTTCCAAGAGTGAGGCCTGCCAGCAGGTGGGGGACTCGGTGCCCCCTGCTAGGCCCCTGTGATCTGGGGGGCTGTAGAGTTGACCTGGCATGGAGTCTTGGTCTGAATCCTGGCTCTTTGCCTCTGGCCCTGCCCAAAGTTTCCCTTGGTGTAGTTTGCGTGTGTTCATGTGTTACGTGTGTGTATGTGTGTATGTACGTGTGTTTATGGGGTGTGTTCCACAGGGTAAACCTGAGCTTGGAGTGCCCGCTATGGGCTTAGATAGGCCAGGAGGTCTGAGTGTAGCAACAGGAAGCCCCAGTGTGTTCTTAAATCAGTCTTGAATTCATTCATTCATTCATTCATTCATTCATTCATTCATTCATTCATTCATTCATTCTGCCATCCAAAACCATGTATTGACAACATACTTTGTGCCAGCTTTAGTGTTCAGCCCCGGGAGGACTCATTCGGATGTCCTCTGACTGCCGTGGTATGAGGTGTTCCTATAAGGCCCGTGGGAGAGGAATGGATGGGGTCAGAGGAAGGCCTGAAAGTCGGGGGCCAGGGAGGTGGGTTTATTGAGCATGCAGGAGAGAAGAAAGAAGGCAAGATTGGATTTCATGTGTCTGATGGAGAGGAAGAGTCACGTGCTGGGGGTGAGGAGCTGTGGAGGTCCTGTTCTGGTCCCCAATTGTGGTGACTGATCATAAAGTGGCCAGGCTGACCCTCTGTTTCCAGTTGCCCGCTGCCTCTGGCTCTGCCCCCCTCCCCACGTCCCTCCCCCCTTTACACCTCCGGTCCCACCCTCTTTATCCCCCTGGGCATTTTCTGGCTTGCCTGGATAGACTTAGAGACCTGCTTGTTGGCTGTGATGTCTTTTCATTCTTTTTTTTTTTAAAAAAAAAACAAACAAAACAAAACAAAACAAAAAAAACAGAACAAAACCAAAAAGTGTCCAGGTGATTGTGTTTGGTTGATTTACTTACAGTGAGAGGCAAGGATGGATCAGGGGTGGAGGGAGGTGGGCCTTGCATGGCCCCAGACCTTTCTGATTGGTGAGGACTGCTACAAACCGGAAGCCCTCCCCCTGGGGTTTCTCCCAAGGCAGTTCCACTGTCGCATTGGAGGTGGGTCCTGTGGCTTTGGAGGCGTGGCCAAGGAAGCCGTGTGCTCCCACGGCGGGCTCCTGTATCAGGTACTCTGGAGCTGGGACGTTTCCTAGGGTTTGCACAGCGCGGGTTCACAGCTTGATTTAGTTTAACAACTTAGATGGTAATGGAGAGGATTTGCCGGACGGGGGTGGTGCTGGTGCGTTTCAGCTCATTCCACAGCTCCAGTGTCCGTGTTCTTGACTGGGGATGGTCATAATGGCCCCAGTATTCAGTTCTGAAAGGCTGGGAGAGTGGGAACCGTTGACTTTAAACCTGCAGTGTCAGAACGTGTTCCCTCGTGGAGTCATAGGTTCCCTTAGCTTCTGCTTCCACAGAGGCGTGCGTGAGTGTGTGTGTGTAGGAATGGGCTGATTTCTGATGGAGGTCCCTTTCCTGGAGGCCAGAAGCAGCCTGGAGGCTCTGTGTGGTCTCTTGCTTTCTGGGGAATAGTGACCTGCCTATGTCCTTGTCCCCCAGTCTCCTCCCTGATCCAGAGACTCCTTAGGCCTCTAACTTCATTGGCTCCGAACTTTATTGCCCAGATTACCTACTGAGTCTGTAGCAATCCCTAAGGCACCAGGCTGCTGCCATCAGCAGGAGGTAACAGAGCTGAGACTTGGTCCTCCAATCCCTGGGCTCCTTTTGGGGCCCAGGCCAAGGCATGTTGAGGTAGTTGGGTGGTGTAGCCTGAAAATGAAATCTGGGGTTCCTCAGCCAAGTATAGGGACCTACTTCTTTCCCTAGGGCACACCTTCCCGTCCCTGCTTCCTTAACCCTCACTGGCCTCTAGCCTTGCACTCTTGGTAAGGGTTCTAGGAGAGTTCTTTCCTCTCACAAACCTCTAAAGCAGAGCCTAGCGTATTAACATGTACAATGGCGTGTGTGTGTGTGTGTGTGTGTGTGTGTGTGTGTGTGTGACAGGAAAGATAATGTGACATCCACAGAGTATGCATTTCCAGTCAGTTAACTCATGAGTGGATCTTCAGGGGGTAAGTTGTAGGCCTCTAGGAGAGGTGTGTAGCACCAGATAACAGAGGCCATGTGCTTTGGAGAGGTTCCACAATTCATGGCAAACACCCCTCCTCTCCCGGGTAGGTTGTCCTATGTCAGAGAGAGTAAAAGCCGCACTGTGTTTTCACGACCTTCCCAGTCAGACATGCCCTCCTGACCTGGCCTCCACGTGCCCTTCAGCGGTCCCAGGACTGGCAGCTCAGGAGGGAGAATGCAAGGACCAAACTTACGCTCTTGTGGGGCTGCTGTGCCTTGAGAACCGAGTTCCTGTCCGCTCAGTTCTGCCTCCACAAGAGACTTATTTTCTGGACTAGCAAGGTGGCTCAGTGGGTAAAGGCACTAGCCGCCAAGCCTGAAGACCTGAGTTCAGTTCCTGGGACCCACGTGAAATTTGTCTGCTGCAAGTTGTCTTCTGACCTCCACAGGCGTGTAGTGGCATGTGCGAGCCCAAACATTACATTCTCTGTCTCTGTATCTCTCTCACACACATACAAACACACACACACATATTAATATATGCAAAAAAATGTTTCCTTCTACTGGCCTGACACGGAAGTCAGGGTGGGGGTTCCTTAGCTCATCTGTGCCCTGGCATTTGGTTCCCATTTCTCATCTCTCAGTGGCGATCAAACCCTGGTCTGCTGAGGGTGGCTTAGCCCACTGCCCTGTCATCTAGAAAGGTCCTGAAGTTCAGCCTCTGCCATCCCCCAGCTCCTTCCAGGAAAAGCCTATCATCTCGGCCCTTTGGCCCTCTGCCACCAAGCTGTTCCCAGGAATGTCATGAAGTATGCAAGGACTCGGGCACCACCGGAGTTCCCCTTCCTGGAAGGCGTGTGGTTGTTTGGTAGATGACCCCGAAACGTTCCCAGCTAAAGAAATTCCAACTGTGTTTCAGGTCTTTAGGCTAGTGTCACCTCTGAAGCAGGAGAGAGTAGGGATGTAGTGGGCTGAAGGTCCTCAACAGGAGAGGGAAGGGCAGGGCCAGGGGGAGTGCAGTTGTGAGTAGAGAGGACAAGTGAGGGGAGACAAAGGAATTGGCCTTTAAGCACACCCATTGTGGGGTCCCAATAGCACCTCAGTCCTTGGAGGGTCTAATCAGATCCTGCCCACTCTCTGCCTGAGGCCCCAGGGGTTGGGGAGGGTTGAGGTCAGAGGCTAGAAGTGGGGGTTATGCAGATAATTAGAAACAGACTTTCCTGAGTGGCAGGCGCCATGGAGACCACCACTCCCCTCTCCTTCTTTCCTCAGGTCTCCAGGTCACCTCCCAACCCCCCATCTAGAGAATCCCAGCCAGGCTGATGGAGCCTGTGAGTCGAAACTTCAAGGAACTGGCTCCCCAGGCCCTTACACAGTCTCTAAAGTGCAAACAACATATTTTCACTATGCAATGGTATTTAATTACACATAAAAACAGAGCCATTAAACTGAAATTAAACCCTTGTTGGAATCACTTAATTCAGGGCATGACAAATTGCTTTCAGCGGAGGCGGCAGCCTAGTCCCCTGGGGTGGAGCTGGGGGAGGAAGAATGGAGATTAGCGGCTTCTATGGCTGGCTCACTCTCCTCATTTTCTTGGTCCCCTTCCCAACCCGAAATTCTGAACCTGGAGCCAGAACCCTCTTCGGAAAGACCACCCAGGCCAAGGGGGAAGGCTCTAGATACGGTCGCGATGTTGGGAACAGGAGGTAGGGAAGTCACCATTCCACCCAGTTCTTGACGGCTCCGGCTATATGCATGGGGAAGCTGAGGCCCAGATGGGACAGGAATCCAGGCCAGGATTAGACCCTGGCACCCATCTATGCCCACACAGGCTGGTTTGTCTCCCTCCCTCCTCCCAAGCCGATAGCGCTGATCCTGAGCCTGGAGAAAAGTTGGGGCTGTGCGGTGAGGGTTGGAGACCAGAAGTGACCTTGGGTAACTTTCTAGGGGGCCTCAAACTCACAGAGGTCCTCCTGCCTGTGCTGGGTTTAAAGGCGTGTGCCACCACTGCCCGACTCAATTGGACTATTGATGGGTACAATGGATCCCAAAGATATGGGAGACTCTCCAGGAATGTTATGCTGGGAGAGGTAAAAGGCGCCAATCAGAAGGGGAGCTTGTCTTTCGGAAAGAGACTTAACACAGTTCTAAGGACTTAGACCACATTGGGGAATGAGACTGAGGCCCAGACATGGACGGCTTCCTGGTTGGCAGAACCCACCTTGGTCAGGACTTGCTTACGTGTGCCCATCTTTGGGGGTCTACTTAAACCGTAATCTCGTTTAAGGACCCCGGAAGACAGACTTGGGGGCATTCTCAGGATCTCTGTCTTTCTTCCTGGATCTTGTAACTGGCTTACGGAGGACAGGTGGCCTTAGCACAAGTTTTGACCCTACAAAGGGACAGAGTCATTTTTGGGGTGCCTGTTACTCGAAGTGGGGCTGACCCCAGGTGGAGAGCTAAAGTGGACTCCAGGGACATTGTCTCCTTTTTCCACTTTAGTGGCAGCAGCTGCTTTTTACCTGTTTGGGCTGGCAAAACAAACATTTTGCAATTGCGTGTAGAAGACACACTTATATTCAGTCTATTTTCAACAACTAGCAGTGTTTCCTAAGTTTGTAGGGAATTTTGGAGTTTGATCGTTGGCACTTGGACTGGCTAGTTTTATGTCAACCTGACCCAAACTAGAGACATCAGCGAGGAGGGAGCCTCAGTTGAGAAAATCCCTCTGTAAGATCAGGCTGTAGGCAAGCCTATTAGGGGGCATTTTCTTAAATAGTGATTGATGGTGGAGGGTCCGGGACATTGTGGGTGGGGACATCCCCAGGCTGGTGGTCCTGGCTTCCTTTAGAAAGCAGGCTGACAAGTCAAGGGAAGCAAGCCAGTAGGCAGCACCCCTTTATGGCCTCTGTGTCAGCTCCTGCCTTCAGCTTCCAGCCCTGCTTGAGTTCCTGTCCTGACGTCCTTCAATGATGAACTGTGATCTGGAAGTAGAAGTCAAAATAAACCTTTCCTTCCAAGCTTGCTTAGGTCATGGTGTTTCATCACAACAATAATAACCCTGACTAAGACAGAGCTATAGACTTATTCTTCTAAGTCAAAGGTTCTAAATTTTGCTTTAGAAATTGCTTCTGGCTGGGTATGGTGGTGCATGCCTTTAATCCCAGCACTCCACAGGCAGACGCAGGCAGATCTCAGTGAGTTCAAGGGCAGCCTGCCTGGTTTACACAGTGAGTTCCAGGACAGCCAGGACTGCATAGCAAAACCCTATTCCCTGGCTCCCCCTGTCCCTCCATCCCAAAAAAAAGTTGTATGCTCTGCTTTTTCTACACAGCCACATTGATGGCATTGGCTCTATGTACAGATACCTCTTAAACTATTTCAGCCTTCTAAGGAGTGATAGGTATTAGATATTTGTAAACTTGCACAGTTACTTCATTTTCAAAATAGTTTTGCTCTTTTTTTTTTTTTAAATCTTATTTATTTTATATGTATGGGTGTCTTGCCTGCATGTGTGTCTGAACACCTGGGTACCTACAGAGTGCTGGAATTGGGGTTACAAGCGGTTGTGAACCATCTTAGGGGTGCTGGCAATAGAACCCAGGTCACCTTGTGGGTGCTGAGAAGTAAATCTGGCTCCTGTGGAAGAATAGCCAGTGCTCTTAACCTCTGAGACATCTCCAGCCCACAAACCAGATGACTGAACAGCAATGTCTTCAGAGAATCTTGTTCAGAGACAAGGGAGAAAGTTGTCAGAACTGAAATAAATTCACGCATGGTAGCCTGTAATCCTGGAGAAGCTGAATCGGAAATTTAAGGCCAGCCTAGGGCTCATGGTGAGACCCCATTTAAAACCAACAAGGGGAGGAATAATTAGTCTTTAATGAGATTCTGTGTGTTTCCTTCCCAGAATTCCTGCCCCAGTGCAGTAACCTTCTGGCCTGCAGTGCATGCTCTCCCGAAAAGTCTGCCTGCTTTTTGGAGCAACTTCTTTCCTTCATTTTTCTCCCTTCTAAGCTTGCTTTCCTGAACACTTTGGGTTTCCACCATAATTTTGGGCTTCTTTACTCTTTCTCTGAAGTCTTCTTTCTCACCACATGTCTGCTTGTCTGTCACGTGCCTGACCTCCACGCCAGCTTAAACGGCACGGCTTTTTTTCCTTCTTCATTCTCTTGGTAGATGCTGAGGTTTACAGCTTGCCTGCTGTGGACATTTTTCTTCGACATGTTAGTAAAATTGTCCTTGAGCTTCTCTTTGAGTCCATTCCTGAACCTTTTTATTGATGAAACTAAGAACCTCAGGAGAGCATCTCAGTTTCCTCGTGAGACTTCCCAGCTCCAACCTTCCTACCTGTGACCTGGGAACCTCTCTCGCTGTTGGAATCAAATGTCACTTGCCACAGGTGACTGGAGACCTGTCTGAAAAGCCAGGAAAGGCAGGAGACACCTAAGGAAAGCAGGTGCAAGGAGATACAAGAGGGCGCTACTACCCTTTCCCTGCTGGCCTGGAAATGTTCCAGTTAGATGGACAGTGGTAATGGTGGTGGTGGTGGTGGTGGTGGTGTGTGTGTGTGTGTGTGTGTGTGTGCAGCTAAGAACATCTTTTCTTGAGGTTTGGGTAAGCAGTTCTTACCTTAATGGAGCAGCATCCCCTCCTCTTATCTCCCTCTTTCCCCCTCCCCACCCACAGCTCAGCTGCAGGTTGCTAAGTAGAGACTGACCACACCTCTCTCTGGTTTCCTGGTGTTACTTCAAGGTCAGACTCCTCACCTTTGGACTCCTTCGTTTGGCAGAGAGGTTTTCACACAGGGCGCTGGGGTGGGAGATCTGTAGCTTCCCCGCTACAAAGGGCTGTCTCAGAAGCCTGCCAGCCATACCAAGGCCTTGGGGGCGGGGCCTCCATCTATCCTCTTGCTCTTGGGCCTTGAGGTGACCCAGCTGGGTGTGAACAAGCTGAGGCACGCTGCTCTAAAGAAGCACCCAGGTTCTCAGAGAGAGTTAGATGAAGTTGCAGAACAGCTGCATCTGTCCCTCACACCCCCCCCCCCATGACCCCGGCCCACAGCAGCTGCAGGGGGCTGCCTGCCTAGGCCAGATGGGGGAACTTTTGGTTGCTTTCTCCTTCTCCGGTTTGAGCTTCCAAACCGGAGGAGCTGGGAGGGAGGGGAGCAGGGGCCTTTCTCCACCCAGGGGAAATTAGACCAGACTGCTCAGGAAATCAATGCAATTTTCCAGCATCGTGGAAGGTTAGTTGGACAATAGGGTGATTTTTTTTTTTCCTTCAAAACTTTTTTTTTTTTTTCTTTTAAATAAAGAGGGAGAGAGACGTCCAATCGCTTTTGGCTGAGTTGTTTTCCGACTTCATTTCTCAGCCATAGCTGAAGGCTTCTCATTCAATGTGACATGTGACTGCTTGGTGACCCTGGCTTGGTTTGCAGCTGTGCCAGGGGTCAGGCCAGGCCAGCTGGAACCCATGCTCCCCGGATCAGTGACCGTATCTTTCTCAAGAGTCCTACAGTGGGGTCTGTAGGAACCTCTGTAGGCTGTCCCAGTTGCTTGTCCCCCCAAAAGGAGAATGAATGTAGGAGCCAGTGGATCCTAAATGCCAGCCACAGAAGGACTTACATGGTGACATATGACTTTAGTCCCAGCACTCAGAAGGCAGAGGCAGGTGGACGTCCGTGAGTTTAAGGCCAGTCTGTTTGGCATAGTAAGTTCCAGGACAGCCAGAGCTACATTAGTGGGACCCTATCTGGGAAAAACAAAAGCAAACAAATAAAAACGTATATAAATTGGGACCTTGAAAATGCTCCCACCCACCCCTGACAGTCCGTGGGAAGGTAAGATTGCCCCCAGAATGTAAGACCCTGGTAGTTTTTTGTGGTGATGGTTCTTGGGGCTCTAAGAAAAAAAGCCCTGCAAGCTGAGGCAGGGTTACTTCCAACCCTACTCTGTACAAGTGATGGACTTGTGGGGACACAGGCAACTTTGGGGACAGCAGGACAGTGTCATATCAGAGGAGCGACAGCTTGGTGTGGGCGGGTGGAGCAAGGCCAGATCTATCTTCTTGGCTGGGTAGCCAAGAAGACCAGGGCTGAGCCAGTATAAAGAGGATGGGAGTGGGGCACAGGCAGGCCTAGACGGAACGCCAGGGGACATTTCGGGGCATCTGAAAGACAATGCTGTCAGGACAGTCACTTGGGAAGAGGGAAGGAGAGACTGTCCCTGTGTCCCCACGGAAGAGGCGTGGATGTGTGAGCACCCTGGGAGGTGCCTGGGGCTATAAACCTAGACATTCATCCTGGCTCTGATAGGCTGGGCTTGGGAGCAGAGGAGGGAGGTGGCAAGGACTACCTCCGACCTTGTTTTACGTCATCAGCCAATCGATCATTGACCATCCTGGGTTTCTCATACACTGTCCTCCAGCCTCTTCTTTACCACCCACGCCAGCCTCGGGGCCTT